GTTCGCACGAGGTTTTATAAGAACGTCTATTGTATATGAGTACATCTACGTATGGAGATACGTGTATATAGATACACGTTATGTATTACGTTTTTGTGTGTGTGCGTCGGGAACTCCAAAAAATTGTGTGGAGAAAATCAAAAGTTCGATGAAGGTTTTTGCGTGACGCTGCTCAAATCGGTTGATGTCTCGTGAGTATAATATATACATATACGGTCGTGTGATCCCAAGTTGGATTAGTTCATCGCATCAAATGACTCGCCAATTTTTTTTTTTTTTTTTTTTTTTTTTGAAAGAAAAACATAGATGGTTACGCTAAGAAGAGGGAGTAGTGGCATTAAAATCCAAAATTCATTTATTGTATCGTCGACAAATTCTTGACGGTTTCATCAATAAACGTTATCTGTCCGAAATTTTCGTCTTTCTTGACACTTCAAACATCACTAATGTTCAAACTGAAATTTGTCTTTCAACACTTTGAGAAAAACATACTACGAGTATTATTCTCGATTTTTTTCAGTCGTCATACTTTTTTCGTATCTTCATCAAATATTAGCCAGACCAAACGTATTGTATATTTACAAGACTTTTTTTAAAATTTTTTTTCATTTCGAAGTTATATCACGTAATCTCATTTGACAAAATTCTGTGCCCTTCGCTATCATGATTTTTCTTAGATTTCCACGTGCACATGTAAATGAGTGGGGGTTAACACAAGCGGAGAAACAGGACGAGACGACTGAATAACCATTGGTAGGTATACGGATGTCGGGCAGGTCTTTTGTACGTGTTCTGTATTATTTGCAAGTAATTTATATAATATGACGTTCCAATTGCTACATTTTCATAAAATATTTGTACACGTAAACACGCGCAACTATGCAATTGTGCTCATGTATAATAAAAATAATAATAATAAATATAATGATGGATACAATAATAGTAGGATGTCCGTACGTGAACGCATAAACGAAATAATGATGAAGCTGATGGAAAGTAATAGGTATAGAAAATTATGCTTGGTAGAACTATGGTTACCGAGTGCAATTTCAATTGTGTTAATCGTCGGCTGTAATATAAAATGACGATTGAAATGAATGTTTTACAGATGATGAAGGATCAATTATATTGCGCCTACGGTTCTATTTATTCCCTCGTAGTGTGGCACACGCAGCGTATATTACGTACATGTTTAATAAATAAAGCAAAAAAAAAGCAATTTCACAGATATTATAAAAATAAAGAGGAGAGGTTAAAATAGTTGCAAAGAAAGAAAAAGTGCCGGGTGTGGGATATGTTGGTTAAGTCGAGATTTGCACTAGTTACAATAGGAGGGAAACGAGGGGCAATGATGCTCATGTGTATATTTATCGGGACATATAAGTAACAACATCACCAAAGCTAAGGAACGAAAGCAAGTATAGAAGAGAATATAGAAAAGTCTGCGCGCGTGCGCGACTTAAATACGCAGCACCAATATTGTATAATAACACTCTTGTGTGAATGTGTAATACGACATGGGTTTGTAAAGTGAATTTTTATTTTTTATTTTATTTATTTATTTTTTTAATTTTTGAATAAACGAGCACAGAGAGAGAGAGAAAAAAAGAGAAAGAAATGACATCAGCTACAGGTCAAGGCTGTAACTCTCGATTCTCTAAATTTGCTTCACCATACAGCCTTGTGCTCAACATATCATGATCTCACGTGTGTTGTTTCTCTCGTCTTTTTTTTTTTTTTTTTTTTTTTAAACACGTTTTTGCGCGTCATAATTTTATTTTCCCTCTCTCTCTCTCTGATCCTTAACTAAAATAATCCACGCGGCAGTAGCAACGCAACGATGACTCGTGTTATTTTTTCCTCAAGTATTTTCTTTCTTTCTTTTTTTTCGGGCTATAACGTAATTTAAAAAATGTATACACACCGAGTATAATAGTCGCGTTGTTTATTATTCATACATGTATCATATACGAGTAAGTATCAGGTTACGCAAAACTACAATCTCCGACGTGGGGCTCGAGTAAACATGGCGTTACGTAAAATTTATAAAATCAATTTAAGGACAATCGCCAATTAGCATATTACACGCTACAACGAAATTACAACGATAAATTTACGCTTCGCTATAAAAAAAAAAACAAAAAAAAAAAAACAATAAATAAATAAAAAACACGTGTACACACAATAGTACACATAAGCTGTGTATGCCATTACGAAATCGCGAGGTTATAATATTTATGCGCAAGATTATTATAATTATCGCAATCAGCAGTAAGTTGGATAGGCGAGTGGCGCAGATAAGACATTGGGGAACGCTGAAAAAATCGCTGATAAAGAAATCGGCATTGTAATGCACCATCGTATACCTAAATATAAACACACGTTGTATATAATTATGTATGGACGGGCAGAGCAGAGCCGATAAGATACAAAACTGCCGAGGGGCCATTCATCATTGCGAACGAGACTCTCTCTCTCTCTTGCTCGTTTTTATTTGCAGATTAAACGAGAGAAAAGTGTTTGGTGGCTGGTGTACATAAACTGTGATGCCTCGGTAAAATCGGACTTATTTTATCAAATATATACACACTCCGTAGTACAAGCGATTGACGAACGTGTGTGCAAATACGATGCCTCGAAAAGAACCTGACTCTTGCGTTCGATCCCCCTCTGTTTCGTTCGAAGCTGATTGGGGAAAGATATCCCGTAGGTATGGAGTCGTGTCGATGCACTTACAGATAATAGTGCAGGAGAAAAGCTGGAAAACCTCTCGCGTGGATTGACTTGCGAATGTCTCCTTCGACGGCGAAACCCAACTGTACGCGTGGGCACCCGGGCTTTTTGGGCTGTTAAATACTGTTAAACTGAAGTGTCCGTTTCTTTCACATGCGTGTGAGATAAATGCCAATGCTAAGGACAAGCGGGGGGATGGAAGAAGTAAAAATAAGGGCTGCAAAAAAAATGACTGTTGTATACATGTTATAATACAAATGGTGCCGTCTGTCGTTTCGGAGGCATTGTTCCATCGCATTTTTGCATCTTGAACAAAAAAAAAAAAGGGGGTGTAAGACGCGTGTATGTGCATATGCATGATGCATGTCGCTGTATTTTCTCGGTGACGGCAGAAACGAGAGAGAGAGAGACAAAAGAGCTGGCGAGCGCACGAGGGGCCAATTCTCTTTGGCAAGACTCTTCATCTCGAGGTATATATGTTTGCGTTGAATAGAGGGAGGGAAAAAAAAGACTTGCATTATTCAGAGGGGAAAGTGTGCGAGGTAACTGTATAAATGTGCTTCGTGAATGTGATTTTTCGTAAGTTGGCATTTTTATTTGTGACGGGACAACTCGGTTACGATTATTATATAGATCTGCATGCGAGGCTTACCACGAAATATAACTAATATCGTCAGAGGAATCTTAAATTGGGCTGAAGTTCTCGCTATCATAACACTATAGGTATGGTCGTTGGTGTTATCGAACTTCTGCTTGGACTCTATACAGTGTGGCAGTGCCCAAGCAACACGGCAGTTATAATTATAGCACCCGGGTATAAAATGCAAATATGGAACAATATAATGATGTAAATGGTGTGAATCATGTAATTTTTATAGGTGCTAAAAATTACGGTTATGAATATTAATACTTTGTTCACATACCTCGCGAAGCAGAAGCAAAAGTGTTGTACTTTCGGTTGAGGTGGTTCAAAAAATTGTCCACTGTACCAAAAAAGTGTTCAAGTATTAGAATTTCGGAGTTTGGTGTGATTCGTATCGTTGACACAACAAAAACAAGGTTTGCCACACATAAAGCTCGTAGTGCGAAATCATGTGATTTCCAGCATCACCCAATTATTCTTCAGGTAGCGTGTAGGTAAGTATCTTATTCGCGGACCGGACAAAAAGCGTTTTTGTCTGTATAGCTTGAAAAAAACCTCATCGTTTAATCGAGATCCAATCATTGTATCCCTCAATAAGGTATATACAACCAGAATCCTATTGTTTAACAGCCTGAAAAATAATAAACCAGTGTCATTGTGTGTTTTACATGAGCATTTCCTTGCACTGGGCTTACAAAGTTTACCGTCGGCGAATCGAGTCATCACCGAGTTCCTGATGATACCTTCTTGTTATGATCTCGCTTTTCTCTCTTCTCTACGACAGAGTCCGTTCCCCCTATATTTGGCAACTAAAACTGCGAACGAGTAAAAGAGCGAGAAACGGCAAAGCAAGAGAACGCTCGATCTCACTATTTACGCTTACTTACGAAATCCCTTTATTTCAAGGGCACTTATTAAATGTCACAATTTTTTTTTTTTTTTTTTTTTTCAACTCACCAACGACGAGGATCGGGAGTGGCGACCCTGTGATGTGCTTTTCATCCCTCGTTAGCTTATCTTATTTCATTATAGCTACGAAAAAAAAGGGGGATAGCACAGGTGGTTATTCAGCTAGGAAGAGAAAAAGAACGAGCATATATTCTCCTCGAGGGAGGACCAGCGGGAGGGATACAAAGTTGCGTCAAATTGCCCNTTTTTTTTTTATTAAAGTAAAAAAACGATTAAACAACGTTCGACTCGACCCGAAAAAAATCCGTCCGTCCACTCGTACACGGGTAATAATTGATAAGTTCATCACGCCCATCAGGAAAATCACTTGAAATTCAATTGCTGTCAGCACACACCGCTCCACAACTTAACGGCTCGATACAGTTTCCCACTAATGAACAGCAATCCGTGGAAAAGCTGCATTAGCGCGCCGAATCGGACAGCAGTTCTATATACGTATATGCAAGCTCTTGTCGGTAGCGAGTAAACATATAGATATACTCTGTCCGTGTGCTTTACATGCATGCACACGGAATCACCGGGCGTCGTAATCAAACTGCCCGAGCCAGAGAGAGACAGCAAAGGAGAGGGGAGGGGGAGAGAGAGCAAGCCTGGGGCCTGGCTGGGGCGCTTGTTTACCGTGCGGCAGCACATGAACCGTAGTCGCGACGCGGAACTCGTTGACGTTGGTCCTACACGCTTCTGCAATCTGCACTACTGCAGTAGTACGCTTTCGCTCGCGAGCGGCGCAACATCGTATCGTGTGATAGTAATGAAGCCGAGAGAAAGGAGTTAAGTTTGCGCAGGCGCAAGTTCAGCAGCAGGAATACATATATATTATATAGCTTGAGCCGCGGTCCAAGAAGGGCCAAGAATTCCAAGAAAACGAAAAGCGCGTGCGCCCGGGCACGTTTACTGGGAGAGCCACCACGACCACTTGCGAGCAGTATTTTGTGTACATGTGAAGCGGCTGTGCGCGAGACACGAGAGAGAGGAAGCGAGTGAGTGGGTGATAGTCGTGATAGATACCATTATGAGTGCGAGCGCCGTAGCGGCAAGGACTGTGTCGCCGAGCATAGGCGTCATGAACGAGGAGGAGCTGCAGGAGCCGCGCCAGCAGAAGTGCGAGGAACTCAAGGATCAGCCCAGCCTGGACCTGAGTCGGCCGCAGCGGCAGGAAGAGGAGATGGTATTGGCGGATGAAAACCGGTCGGCCCAGGAGAGCGGGGCCGAAAGCGAGGGGCTCCAGGTTGACGCTCAGCTTAGGGCGATGGCCGTCTCCGCGACGACGCGAGCGACTCCGACAACGGGGCCGAGGACTGACGCGGCGGCGCGAACCCCCTCCACGGCCACCTCGACCGGCACGCGCTCTGCCGGGGAGAGCTTCGATGACGTCAACGGCAAAGATGTGAGTACAATATACCTATGTACAAGAAACTATATCATCCTATCCTTCTTGGCTTGGCGTCGTTGCTCCAGAACTTTTTTCGCATTCGCTCGCACGGAGCCGACTTGTGCGGGTGCATTTATGATCTCGTGCAACTTATATGCTTCGAAACGATAAAACTTGCATTGTCTAGGTCCTGAATTTCGAATGTTTTTTTTTCCTCCGTTTAATTCTCAAACATAATTCAATGAATTACTATTGGATCGAAGTTGGTGTGCAATAACTAGCTTTTTTTTTTTTTTCATCAATAAAGGTCACTTTAAAAAAATGAAGCTCAAAACTTTCATTGTATAAATTGTAGCGCGAAGTATGCTTACACTTGTTATTCTCTTTCCGACTGGAAGCATTATTGAGGTGTTGAAGCGCTATTACTTATACTTACGTACATGCCAATTATCAGTCGGAACAAGAGGGCCATATACGGTAATGAGATTGCCACAACTACAAGCGTTGTCATGACTGCAAGCTTGTAATACTAATAGCGATCTTTGAAAAATCGATGCACCTACAGTCCCTCCACGTGATTGACCCTTGTAAGATTCGAGATTCAGCTTTTTGAAGTTTAAGACGTGAAAACGCGTCACGGTGTTAATTCTCCTGATGTCGAAACGTAACTTCTACCCAATTTTGTAATTAAATTAATTAGTTGGTTTGGAAAATTTTTTCATAATCTTAGAACTTGCGGGAAAATGGGGTATTTTTTTAACTCGTTCTATAGCTCATAATAATAACGATAATCATTAATTTTGACGAGTAACCTACAACTGCAACAATTGTATTTTAGCGATTGAAGCCATTCATTAGGACATGTCAAAGATTCGAGAGCGGCAGCGGCAGCGGCGACCAAGACGGCATGGTCTCGATGGAAGACGGCGTAGACGTAGCGGCGAAGAAGCGCAAGACCAGACGCGGTAAGCCGAAGCACCGCAAGCTCAAACCCTACTCGAAGCAGCAGCCGTCGTTCCAGCAGCGCTTGCGGGGTCGGGCCTCGAGTCGCCCAAACAAGGCCGGACGTAATCCACCCGCACCGTACAACACGACGCAATTCCTCATGGACGATCACAACGACTTGCCCGAGCTGGACGAGAAGATCGCAGGTGCTGTTCCCGTCTCCTCCAACTCGACCGATTTTGTCAGCTCCAGCAAGCCTGTTGCCCGCGGGCGCTGTCCCAGTTTTTCCATGGACAGTGACGACGATGATCATTTTTATTCATCCCCCGCAGATGAGGTAATTTCATTACTTTGATCATTTTTTTTTTTTTTTCATAAATTATACATCACTTTACGATTTTTTCCATCAAACTCAAACAAATCTTTAAAATAAAAAATTTGACTTGATGATAATTTTTTTCTTTTTTTTTCTCCCAAGGAGGAATTTCTTTCCAAGGAGTTCTGTAACGTCTACGAGGAGACACACGCCGAGAGGTTGAGTCAGCTTAGTAAGAGTGCGCTCATCGCCGAGTACATTCAGCTGGAAGCCAAGATAGACGGCCTGAACAAGCGGCTGCGTGCCAAGAACAGCGCCTGCAACGCAGCGGCTGCTGCTTTCCATCAGCAGCTGGCAGTAACATTGATAGCTGCAGCTGCAACGGCATCGGATCCGAACGAACCTCGGGACGCGGAACTAGCAAAGAAGCTTAAGGCCCTTCAGCAGCGCGTCGATGAGCTCCAGCAGCAGAATGAACAGCTCCGCCGGGAGAACGAGCAATTGCGCCAACGCCACGGCAGCCCGATGTCCAGTGTCGACAGTGAGAGCGATAGCTCGTGCCAGAGTCACGCTTGCTCAGATTGCAGCAACCATAAGACAACGAGTCCAGGTTCCTCGCCTGTACCTGCGTCTTACGCGTGTCGCGAAAAAAGCAGTCGGCGCAAGAGCAGTTCGGTATCGAGTGTCGCCAGCGAGACCGACAGCGACAGCACTGACAACTCATGCCCGGGCGCAATTAGTCCCAAGAGCGCAGCTACGACGTCCAGTAACAGCGCGACCACCCCTACGACGGCAACGACGTAGGCCAACGGAGCTGCCGAGGCGTACAACGGACACGCGACCAGTTGCGAAGTTGTCGGCCTGCCCACTTAAAAGCACACCACTTTTCTTTTTCTTTTTTTTTTCTGTTCCCTTTCCTTCATTTGAAGGTTTGATACCGCAAGCGTATTCTTCAAATGTATATGTACATACGCGGTTCGTTGAATACAGTCCGCCCTCGTCAACGATCGAAAGACGACCGGTCTCTCATTTTTTTTTTTTTTTTACTTTCACGCGTTCGGTAGAGCGCGAGTTATAAGTATTTTTGCCAATCAAGGTGATTAAACGGAATGAGCAACTCGCGGCGATGGATTGTCGCGAGGAAATGAAAGAAATCGAAATCAAACTTTTTGTTTTTTTGTTTACTTGTTAACCATGTGCATATTATATTGTACAATTAGATATAAAAGTAAACGGATCTCTTAATCCATTTGCGTGGATATTTGTTCACGAGAGCGAATGGCGACGACTGTATCGGCACGTAGGGAACCTCAGCTATCGAGAAAGCTGGTCGATTGATGAAAATAAATGAATCTGCAGGAAAAGTAGAAAGCACGGGATGCTTTGTCACCTTTGATTCTCTACCTCTCGTCTGTTTCGCCAAGACTGTCATTCATTTATTGTACATATAAACGACATATTATAAGCCAATGCAAACTCAAGAGGGACGTACTGTATACGCAGCGCGTGTCATGAACTCACTCACATACAAAGGCATAATCACGTTATTAGAGACGATCGCTCAAAATGGATGTAATCCTCATTTATTTCTGCCGACGCGCGAGCGCTGTTCATGCATAAAGTATAAGCGCAAAACCACATTCGTTTCATACGTTCGTAATATTAATACGTTCTCGTCCCGCAAAAATACGCGAGATCTCGCTTGGATCATGTACATCTGAACATCGCGTAATTTATGCATTCGCCTTATTCATTTTAATGCATACTGCCATCCTAAAAAAGATCCATCTTTTGCAATACTTTAATAATTAAAGTATTGAATTGTATTTATTTTTATTTATATTTTTTTGTTGTTTATGATTTGAAAAATTTTAAACCGTTTATTCGTTTTACTCCACTATTAATCAGTTAGACATTTCTAAGCACCTAACTTATAAAAGTTGAATAATGCACAAACAAATGAAAAATGCGGAGGCTTGCAGACCATCAACTAACGCAAGTGTATACACGGGTCCATGCAGTTATGAATCCTTTTTGGAAAGCATCTCTCATGTTGTATCAAAACGTGAATAGTATGTACTATTGTTTTATACCTAGAATTGCATCTACGCCTTGCAACCGTGGCCTAAATTGACGCAGCAATGCACTTTTCAACATATTACGTGTTGTCAATGAAACTGTTTTTAACGAAATTATTTTGGGAGTTTATTGTTTTATTTCACATCTATATAACTGGTTTAATACAATTCAGTTCTATAGTGATGCATTTAGAGTTTACCAACGTCACAAAGTTTACTTTACATTAACTTTGGTAGCAATCTAGTGATTTATACATTTCAACGACAGTGACTTAAACTCCATCATAAAAAATCGAGCGATTCAATGATGATATCATATGCTGTGCAGATTTTGGTTGGGTCTTTAAGCTGCATAATAAATTTTACGCATAAAAACCTAGTACATATTTATAACGTTTTCATACCTTGCGAAATATTAATCTAGAAAAGGGTTCATAGAGTTGAACAAAAAAAAAAAAAAGTTTTTTAAAATGCCATTTTTCAGGCGCAACGAATAAAATAAACGTGAATAAAGTATTACTGTCGCGGTAAATGACAATGTGATTTTAATATATTCTAATGTTTAAGGACGCATTGTACAATTGTATAGACTAGATTAAGACTAGATGTTAGTTTATGGTCTGAGATATTACTACATAATGGGGCGCGCCTTACTCTTTACTTTCGGTATGAAATATCGTTAAAGCCAAAGGATATTTCTCCTCTCTGTGTAAAATATGATTACGTTAAAAAGCCTATACATGTATATCTTATTCTTATGTTTTACCTCTCATGATAAATTTAATAATCTCGCTGTATTATTTTTATTGCGCCCTAGACCTTTTCAAGCTAAAGTCGATGCAAGTTTATGCTCGTCAATTGCACGTGTTCTGAATCTTGACTTTTCTAGATTTTTCATGACAATAAATAGTTGTACATTAAAACAGTTTAACACTGGAAGAATGAATTTTCAATCAATTTCACACGAAATGCGCTATGAGATGAAATGGACTTTTGGTAATAATGAAAGCATAACGTGAAGTTATTGTATAAGTCTGCATCAACTTTAGGATTCTATCGAAATTTTTATGTATCATTTATCATAGTATTCAAGCTTACTGTTACATGCTATCGTGCTGGGGGATTCAAGCAAGTCTTCCTCTAGCTGTTTAATCACATTCATTCGCCATTTTTATGTATTTTATGTATTATAAATTTTTAAAACAAGATTATCAATAATTGAAAGAAAAAGCTACTCGAATTTTTTTTTTTTTCAATGTTTTTATAAAATACAAGAAATTCCGTAAAAAGTAAAACCATAATTATACCTCCTAGTATACGTTCAGCGCTTTACAACGTTGGACTTCTTCGCTGTGATAAAACATGTGTGCTTATAAGTAATTATTATGGAGACTAAAAAATATCAAATAAAAAGATATTAGTTGAGTAAGATATACTTAATCGTATCTTCACTTCAAAATATCCTTCCTAATTCAAACCACTAATCCCGCCACCTACAGTTGAAAAAAATGAAATTTGTTGGAAAGTAGAGTTTCAGCCTTGCCAAGTGACAATTATTGGTAACCATCACTTGGTATAGTATCAGTATTTATTATCCACAATTATCTAACTGAACATAATAAAATGAAATAATCGTAAAAAAAATTTTCTCAATGAATTGTACATATTTTTATTCTTTGAGTAAGTACAACAGTATTTAAAAAATTGATCATATTTGGTATGTAAGTATAAAACTATTAAGAAACTTCCTTATACTTATTTAGAAGAAAAGTTAAATATACCACGTTATGCCTCGCGGTAGGGCTTATGCATTTAAAGGTATTGTCTTATCTCGGCTATTATAATACCAACTTTTGTGTGTACTACACATATTTTTCTCATCTGTCTCAACTCCCAACATTAATTTCTGATTACGAAATCAGAAAGTGTGTACTTTACCTATTTGTCTTATCACGTGTACATTGTAGATTATAAAATACAAGTTGTATTGTTTATAGCTCGCACACCACATGTATTATATATTACATCTGGTAAGTATAAGCAAAATAAGCGGCCCAAGCGTGTCGCGGCCGTCGCGGGTCGTCGCGGGATAACACTGTAGTCACTTGTAGTGTAGATTGTACATATACTCATATACATTCACACCGAGGTATATATACTATATATACGAAAAACTGCGTAAGTGAAAACTGCAATTGTAGTAACAATTACAAATAGCTATCACAATAGCTCAATCTAATTGGAAAACTAGGTGTTGGTCGCCGGGTGTAACGTGATGACGCTGATAATGAGTCTGACTGGCTTGAGTACATAAGCATAGGTACTTATCAAACGCTAGCACGACAGACAATAAACCGAAAGCTGTAAGTGCTGTAACTCCTGCTCGTGACCTGCAGCCAGACAATTGGAGCCTATACTTACTCCAGGTTTGAATCCATGGGGATATAGGAAAAGAGCTTCGTCAAAGTTACAGGGGAAAACATCATCAAAACAGACACAGTGAGACTCAGTCATGAGGGAGATCTGGGGTGCCGAGAAGCTTGAAGCGGAGCTTGAAGCCGCCAAGGACGGCCTGCGTGGTCTCGAGAAAAATATCCGGAAGATCCTCGGCAGAGATGTACCTGACGGGGAGAACGGCGCTGTAGCTCCTGTCCAAAATAGGTGGGCACTAATGCTTTTTTTTACGCTTCTCTTGTTCTTTCCGTTTCCCATTACATCAGTGTAACTGTGTGGAACATAACCTATCGTCCTGGTGGCAATTATTGGGTCATGCATGTGCAGTCAAGTCACAAGATTTGCAATGTTTACTTTTTAGAGCTGCTTGTTAACAATTTTTTTTTTTTTTTTTTTTTTCCATTTACATGCAACATTATAGTACTGATTTTTCACAGTGACTTGTTTTAACAATGTTATTCATTACAATTTCTTTATATGCAAATTTCACTGAATAATCTATTTGCATAGAGGTGCTCAAAAGAGGCCTATGCAAGATGACGTTAGAGGACGCAGATTAGGAACTGATTTCCCAAATAATGGTTTTGGGCCTAAAAGAAGGTGGCAACAAGGCAGTAACAATGTCAACACTAACAATAACAATAACAACAACAATAATCCTGAACCAAAAACTGTATTCAGTCGATTGAGTGCAAGGGCTCCTGCTGCTGATGACAGTGACAATGAAGATGACAATTCTTTTAAGGTACTTTGACTTTTTTTTCAAATCATACCTCATTATAGATTGATTTATTCAGTACTTGCATTGCTTATCACGTGTTTTGTAGCCGGCAGTATCTTCTAGAGTTATAGCAACACCTCGAGAAATACCATCCAGGCAAGACGTTATACGCAGAGAAAGCACAGATGAAAGGAGTAAACAGAGAAACAGACGCATGTTTGGTGCTCTCTTGGGTACCCTTCAAAAATTCCGTCAGGAAGAAACAAAACTAAAAGCAAAGGTTACTTACTGCTCTCTTAAAAATATGTTTATAATTATTTCATGCAATAGATAAGGTACTTCAAAAAATTGCGTACCAACAGTGATGAATATGCGTCTATTGTTAAATTTCAGGAAGATAAAAAGGCAGAGGTTGAAGCAAGAGTGGAAGAAGCAAAGAGAAGAGAAAAGGAGGAACTGAAACGAGAGCGACAACAGTTGTTTTTGAGTAGGAAACAGCAGCTAGCACAAGTTAAGGCTCTTGAAATAAAATTAGCACGAAGTAAGCAGTATCAAGATTGGCGTAGCTCACAGATTCCTCTCCTAAATTTTATCAAAACAAAAACTCAACCATCGATCTATTACTTGCCTAAACGAAGTACACCTCAAACTGACACATTGTTACAGGAATCTTCAAATGAACTTAAAGGTATTTTTATTTTCTCGTGAATATACATTTAATCAGCTTCAAAAAAACTAACGCATAAACTGAAACTTATTTTACAGCTGAAATCGATAGGAGAGAGAGAGAATTAGTGGATGAACTTGAAATGATCCAATCTCAAGCTGGAAGTCACAGAAATTCACATAACAAATCTAATGAAAACTTTGACCATTCGATGGAAGAACCTGAAGAAGAAAATCGTGACCCTAATCCGGAAAAAAATGGAGATGTCAGAATGACAGATACAGATAGCCAAACAAAAAAAATAAGTTCCAAGTTTAAAGAGCAAGATAAACATGACGATAAAGTTGAAGACAAGGAAGTAGATAGATATGAACACACAGAAGACAGAGAAGAAGATGATGATGAGGATAAAGAAGAGAGTAAAGAAGAAGATACAACAGAAAGTATAGACCTAAGTAAAGTAGTGATTAAAAAAGAAAAAGAAGAGGACAGTATGGGAAAAAAACGAGAAGAAAAGAAAGACGACAGTAAGGAAGAAGAAAAAGAAGATGCTTGTGACGATAGTAAAGAAAAAGAGGAAGATGATAAAGACAGTAGCAAAGGTGAAAGTAAGGATGATAGTCCAGTTGACAATGAAGAAACTACTCAATTGGAGAGAGATGAAAGTAGTATTTCAATACTGCAAGAAGAGCAAGACGAGAAGATGGATGAGAGTACAGATTAACGTTGGTCTTAATTTTGTACATGAGTGTATTATCATGATGTGTGAAAATTTTGGAACAAAAGCGAAGTGTATGAACTTGTAACGTATATATACTTTGCGTGATTGTGGTTTTCATTGATAATGGCAAAGCTGTAATATTTTAAGTTTTTTTTTTTTTTTTCAATTTCAGAGTACAATGATCTTTTACATTCGTGACATATCTGGATTCATAGTTTTTTATTTGAAAATCAAATTAACTAGTTCACTCTAAAAATCCAGTTATCTTGACACGTTTCGTATTCAATTTTGGAGAAAAAAAACTCTTTAACCACGAGTAAGTAATTTTTACCGTGTCAGGGACTAGTTTGTATCTTTAGCAATAAGGACCTTAAAAACGCATAAATGTATGTACGTTGTTGTAATTGAGTTTTTGCCGTACCTTGGCATAACTCGCATCGTTTGTGTGCACTGCAACTCACCTGTATAGTGGGATAAAATCAACTATTGTAAAATAATTATCGTGAATTTTAGCATAATTAAAAATTATATCACAAAAAGTCGCCTGTAAATAACGTATGCTTTCATCCTATTGAAATATAAAGATAAAACAAGTACTGTAACAAAAAAAAAAGAAGCTGAATATTTCATTTATGTAATCGAAAAGAAAAAAAATCTCACCTCATTGAAATCCAAGTCAACGTGAAACTTTTTATCTTATCAGATTGCAGCAGTATAGCAAAGAAAACTTGTACATAGACTGTGTGTTTGATATGTATATGTAGCGTGCCACGGAGCGGTGGGAGGAAGGCGAGGCCGCCTGGCGCCATGAACTTCGCGAGCCATTAAGTCGCTTCGCCATATTATGTGGCCAGCCGCGAGGAGAGGAGAAAGAAAAGAGAACGTATGACTTGCATAAAAGTAGAGCTGTGCACTCGGATGCTGGTTTTTTTTTTTATTTTTTGTTTTTTTTTTATATAAGTAGATGCATCATCGGACATGTGTTTCTATTTTATACCATTATATCTTGTTCGCTTACGTACATGCACAAAGAGTCCAAGAACTGCGAATGAATTTTATCATCATCGTTTATTTGTCCGCCCATTTTTTGAAATTAAGGAGGAATTGCAATTTGGATGAAAAAAAGTCCGATATAGAGTTAACAAAGTTAGATAAAAAGGTTAACGAATATAAATATCGCGAGTGCGCTTTGCGCCATCTTCGTACATGATATGTATATGGGTTGTAACACAAAATCTATGTTATATTTCATGTACCAAGCCATTTAAAACATTGATTCGAGTTACGTCTTTTTTCTTAATGTTTTTTTTTTTTATATGACTCGAATTCTAAAAATGTACTCTCTATATTATTAAGATCCAAAGGAAGTCTAAAAGTTCTATGACTGGTCATCCTCTTTAGAAGCAAAATTGATGCTATGCCAGTCCATACCTTTGACGTAATGTTTTTATTTTAAGAAATAAAAAAATTTATTAACGTTACATAAATAAGTTTTCCCTGACCNTTTTTTTTTTTTTTTTTTTTTTTTTTTTTTTTTTTTTTTTTTTTTTTTTTTTTTTCTTCAAAAACGTGTTTTAATATGGAAACACAATAATTGAATTGCGTTAGCTTGAGGCGAGAAAAACTAGTAACCAGTCACTTCGGACGCTCTATACGCATGAGTACCCAAAGTCATTGATGTGAAAGCAATCTTGTATAATTTTGTTCTTTGAAAAGTAATCGAGAAAAGAATAAGTAGTGAATTATAACGCAAATTGCAGCCATCGAGTACCACACATGGTGGCGGTGGATGCGATACTCCTCTCGGGGGGAGCAGGTCCCGCAGTACCAGTGCTACCCACAGACGCGTATCGTCGATTTTTTCATTATTTTATTAATTTCCGTACCAAAGACAATACCGCTTAATGACCATCACCTATAGTTTACTTTGGCACTAACCACTTTGTGGTGTTTTACACATACCTGTAATAATTACAATTTCATTCTCCGTTTCGGTAGACGAGTTGTGTAAAAAAAAAGCAAACGGTAAATACATCCGAAGTTATTGCTCGAGGCTTCGTAATCACGATTTATTAACGATTTTTTTTCTTCAAACTTATAAAAACACGAGTTTTAAAAAAAATGGCAATGGAGTAGGGCCCAAAAGTTTTCTTCTCGTTTGTACTCTACAACTTGTAATGATGAAAGTACCGTGTACTTTTTGCTCGTTTTCGTGAAAAAGTCCGTGTGCCAGGGATGATGCGTTGTATACTCTGAAAATAACTCGAACGTAAGTGGATAATATATACAACTATTCCCGCGCTCAGCAAAAGCTCGAACTTGGAAAGCATAAAATTCACGCACGCGGGAGGGAAAAAAAAAGGCGGAACGAGACCCTTGGCTTTCATTGGGCGAAAAATGCCCGTTCGTTTGCAAGAAAGCATGCATATGCGCGCACACGCGTAGAAAAGCAGCAGCCGCGGGGCCGGGAAAACTGTAAATTTAGAATTTTGGGCTCGCGGCCAAATAATTCCCTGCTCCGCGGTGTGAAACGGCCTTTGCTCATTTCATACCCAATAGGTATCCCATGGAGCTTTTCCCTCTCGGTGCAGTGCATGATGTATCCGACCAATCGTCTGGATGGATGGAATTTTATAGACGGAAGCTCATGGCGAAGACTTTTTTTTCCGTGTCCATGGTGGGTGAACGAAATCTTTACGACTTTCGTCAAATATAGTCGCGAGTCGCAACTTGTTACAACGAGAGCTCTTTTTTTTTTTTACAATTTAACATACATTTGCAAAAAGTGTAATGTTGGGGGCAAAAAGTACTTTTCATACTTTACAGTACACAATTGTGTTTAAGATAAACGAAAAAACAATGTTTCAACTCCCACCGTAGTACTTCCTTTTACACCTCGTTTTTCTCTAAACTCTACTGACCAAAGTTGAAAATGTTCCATCTGTTTTTACATGTACACGTGATGATTTCCAAGATATTTTATTGTACACGTGGATTTACATGTACAATTTTGTAGAAAAAAAATTGGCATCTACTAGCTTCGCCGACTATATGATTTCAAGTTGGGGGTGGAGCCGAGGGGGTGCAACAATTTCACGGCTGTACGTTGCCGTTCCGGCGTTTTAATTTCAACAAAAACAATCGGCCGCGTTATTACACGCCGTTGATGATGATTTACGGAAGAACCACGTAGAATTTGGCGATCGGGCGCGACCGCGCGGAGCAGAGTATTATACATACACGTGTATATACGCGGAGCGTGCCGATCGTGCCAAAATACCGCGGGGGGCTGGTGCGCGACGCTAATGAAAACGAGCACTCGGAACGATACATTTTCACAACCAGCAAATTCGTTAAATGTATACATCTATACTCGTGACGCCGAATGTATATTATACCTACGGGGTAAGTGTGCACCATCACCCACGCTGGTACATATTTACTTGAAATTATTGCATTTCGTTTACAAATATACAGTACATTGTCTTTTGCGTTTGATAACATTTTCAAGTTTTATCGAGTAGAACAAAGAAACGAATCAATTTTGCGCTTTGCAACAAAGATGTGAGCATCTATAAATATAAATAATACACCTCGGTAGCTATATACACCTTTACATACAATGGCCATCCCAAGTAACGCCGCGCCGCTGTATACTAATAAATAACTCGCTAAATCTACCGTCAAATGAACATTAAATTCGCAATATGACGACACGAGGGGTTTACCTTTTTTTTTTTTATAATCTGTAGTTGCGCAAATTCACATGTGCAATGTGCATGTAATTTTATACATTTTGAGCGTTTCGGTAAGGGTTACCCGATTGAATTCCTGTATACTATATAATTATAACAAATACACCTAAGTAATGAAAAAAAAAAAATATATATATTATATGGTACGTGGAGTGTATATATAGGTGAATCATGAGGGGCGTGTTGGTCTCGGGGAGGATAATATAGGAAGGAAGAAAAGGAAAGAGAGAGAGAGAAAGAGTAGGCCGCGCCACGCTGTATGAGCATCTCCAATGGCCCGCACCGACGTAGAACCGCCTCGGCCGAGCGCCGGCCACACCCCCTCCGCGGACTCCCTCTCTCTTCTCTTCGTATCATCTTTTCTCTCCCCCTCTCCGTACCACCCCCTCTTTTATATATATATATATATATGTATATGTATACCAGAAGCTCATTTATACGCGTATTGCGCGAACCGAGAGAAAATAAGATACGAGATGATGAGATAGTATGGGATGCCTCCTCCCACCCCCTTTCTCCTTCATGCTTGCCGTCACGAGCGAATGAGATGCGCCCGCGCGCACCCAATCTCAACATCTAATATCTCTCTCCCACTCTCTCTCTCTCTCGGGTTATTTAAGGTGGTCAGCGCTACTTGATTCGCCCCACGCGTGTATTATTAGTTTGCTTTTGTATACTATAAATTGGCACATTGTGCCATTTATCATAGATTTATGGATTGATTGTTTTTTTTCTTTATTTTTATTTTATTTTTTTTTTTTTTTACTTGCAAAAATATTATATCATTGCATTTTGTGGCCGCGAGCTTGCGACACGTGAATCTACAATTCGTTGCTCTGAAACTCCATTGATGCATAAATTATCCAAAGGGGAATATCTATGTTAGCAATGCATTAATGATGTACACGCAACGTTTAAAACGGCGCATCGATTCGAACAATCAATCAATTACTTGGATATAAATCGGCTGTACGACTATTTCCCCGAGACCATATACGGAGCGCACATACATTACACCGAGGAGCAATCGTCAGCGATATCGAGTCAAGCCTCGTGATATGTGTATATAATATTCATGCGAGTACGCGCTCGCGTAATTTTTTTTTTTTTTTTTTTTCTCATCTGGTACACTTATGCACCAGTATGATGTTTAATGTTAACACACACACATCACGCAAAAGTGATCCTCTTCTCGCTCGATCTGTACACACACGAGTAAGTATAAAAGGGTATAGGCATTATATGCTTAGGCGCGAGGGAAGGCAGTCTCGGTATAATATATATGTATATCCCGAGGGTCCATGTAGAGCTTGAAAGCGTCGGTAGAGAGCGAAGGAGGAAGAAGATGGGGAGGAAGGAGGAGAGCGGCGACACTGCACGCACGCTCGGGGATTTCTTATTTCTGCTCGGGTAAATCTGTCGTGCCCGGTCAGTGAGGCAGGGCGAACCGGCCCGATAAGCGCCCGAACGCCTCCCTCTTACTTTTTTTTGTTTTTTTTTTTTTGTTTTTTTTTTTCCCCCTCCCCTGGCATCATCGGCTCTGAAAACGACTTTTTTCGACTTTCGTCCTTACACCGGTGATACTCAACTGTGCTTTCTACTTGGTGTTGTTTGACAATTTTGCCACTGGGATTCGTTGCGAGTGCGCGAGTTTATAGGTACCTCCTCGATCGTGTTTTTTTTTCTTCTTTTTTTCTTTTTTTTTTTTTTACCAATGGTAAAATATTACGTGCGTGTCTCTGTCCAGTGTAATTCGACGGAGTGTTATTTAGTAAGAAGATGAAGCACCCGAGTCTAGCGATGGGAGGCTTGTTTGTCGATTTCCAGCGCTTCGTGGATCATTGACAGTTGCTTCGGTAAAAGATTATTTCGCAAGTGTATACCGGGTGGCACGCGACGCGCCCGGCCCGACGGCTTTTTGCGAGCACCCCGACGACACCCCAACATGGATTCGATTTTAATGGGTAAGTGTTTCACTCCAACGCGTTTCAACCAGCAAAGCGCAGATTTGGCTCATTTTTTTCTTTCTTTCATTTTCACACTTTGCGTCTTTCATTGATTTTCTCCGGATGTATCGGCACCGTATAATCGTCGCTTCAAAAATAATCAGTCGTTTCTATTGTAATTTTTGATACCTCCGAAACAACATTGGAATAGCGTACAATCACTCTTTGACGACAAAGAAAAAAAAAAAAATCGGCAGCTGATCGGCAACGTGATCCAAAGCAGCGGCAGCTGTTCCTAGCGTTCGGGATGAAAAAAAAAAAACGAAAGAGGAAAATCGGTTCAGGGGATACGGGGGATGAAGTAGACACGAGTATAATATGTGCACAGGTAAGACAATACGCGTCGTCGCTTCCGTAGGTAGCAGAGCGCTCACATGGATTCATTAGCGTCAATTAGTCGTGTTTGCAGGGAAAATAAACGGGGGCGCCGATTTTCTTTTTTTTTTCTTCTTCACCCCCCCCCCCCCGAAAAAGGGTAAATACATTATTATTATATATATATACCTACTTGCGTGCATCCGCAGACGGCAAATACAGTTGACGGAGGACCGGCTAGACTGTACAAACACACGACTTTTCCGTTTGTAGGTATTATATACAGGTAGGATGTGTATGTGTGTTGCACGTCCCTCTCGGGCGCCGGTTGTTGCACAGTCAAAGGGAGGAGAGACTGCAACCGTCCGACGGGTGTGTGTGCATATTTATATTTACACGAGAAAAGAGCCGATTGCTGGTTTAGACCATGTATAGAAGTACCAATCTATAATCCTACAAATTCACCGGCTACCAATTTTCACGTATGAAAAGCACACATGCTCGCGAGGAACTACTTTCCTCCTACGAGATTTCGGAAAAACCCCTTAACGATAATCGATCGAAAATCGGTATGTTGATCGATTTCCATCCCATCGGAAGAAAAATAATAATGGCAAGCGCGCAACCCATCGAGATCTGTTTCCTATACATACACTCGTCAACGCACGCGAGCATGCAAAAGTACGCGTCATAACAAACGCAGCTCGGTTGGGCATCTAAATGGTCCTTATGCACGCGGGCATCAATCTTGCCCTTAACTTCTCATATATAATAATAACAACGTATAGCGAGCATGTATATATGTACGTACAACTGTACCCAAAGTTCCTCCATATTATATGCGCCCTTGTGTGCATATTATACACTCTCTCTCTCTCTCTCTGTCTCTTTGCGCATTATAAACTCTTGCGCGCCTCGGAAAGTGCTCAAGTAAGCGTAACACACGTGTTCGACGCTGCCCCTGATGGTGTGACATTCGTCTCCGGGAAAGAGGCCGAAACGGATAAGTGCGCGCAGCCTCACTCGATGTACTACATAATATACTCGCGTATACGGCCACTTTGACTGCAAGCAACCGACGTTATTATATGACTCCTCCTCCCCTTTGTTAACGTATATACACCCTTAACTTGCGTATTTATGGTTAACAAACACCTTGGCTCGTTATAAAATATCTATACTCTAATGAGCTCGAGATGTGCGCGCCACGCGTTGTTGCTCGTTACGCATAATTATATGTAATTATTAACCGGTGGGCGGAGATTTATTTTACACGCTTCCGCCCATTTTCCCTGTAAGTGCCTGATATGCACACAAAATACACGACACACGTGTCGCGTGGAAGTGGATTCGAGTTTTCCTCCAATTAGCCCGGATGGTTGCAAGCTCAGACACGGAGATGAGTTACTGATGGGTGCATATTGGTAATATGTTTTAGCATTGCCATATACGCAAGCGATTGGAATTGTTTTTCTTCATCTTCATTTCGTTCAATTTGTAGGCAAATCGTTGAAACCGATAAACTCGAAGAGTGTAAGTATCCGGTTTAAATCAAAGCTCCTCGGAAAAGCATTTATGGAACTCGATTTTTCAATTTGTCAGCGGAGCCGTCAGGCAAAACGAGTTGACTTTTAAAAACGAGCACCGCACCTTTAGGTATACTTGTGAGTATGTACTTGCAATGATACTCGTATGAAAAAAATAGAAGAAGAAAAAGCGCCCCAACGCCCCTTCGACGTCAATCGGTGACTCCATGTAAGCTCCGAATTTAGAATACCCCCCCCCCCTCACGTGTACCCTTGTATACGAGTATACATTAAACATTATTTTACGAGGTCGATGTAAAAATCTCGCATCGATCGAATTGTCCCTCAAAGTGCACGGAACGTCAAATCCACACTCATCGAGTAAGAGGAACCCCATCGAGCCTCGTCCTTTTTTATACATGTGTATATATATATTTTCGTGTGTATAACACGAGATCGAGAGTGTCGCGCAGCAGCAGAACTGCACACACCCACACGTACGCGCGAACTTGACTCGTTTTTTTTATTTTCTCTTCTCCCTCTCGCTCTCTTCGCGACTCTTACGACTGCTTCCCTTGGGCCAAACATATGTATTACAAGCGTGTAAACCGACTACTCGCGGCCGGGAGCCTTTGATCTCGGCCATTCATCACCCCTCGCGGGAAAAAGTCTAATAATAATATAATATATACTCGTGCGCGGGGGTTATACATATAGCCACACCCATGCAACGCATATATATATAATATATGTGTGTATATTCCCGCTTTTTTTACGCGACCACGTGCATTTACGTACTTTCGTGACTCTCATCTTTTTAATTATTATTATTATTATTTCCGACGACGCTAACGCGGGCGATCGGTAATTGAATCGACACCCCCTTTTTCGCCCTCGTGTCCACTGTTTCGAGAAAAACAAAGTGGTTTTACGAATGTTGTATTTATAAGCCGCTGTGCATACTACTACCAACAGAGATAAGAGAGATGGAGGTTTGCGATGATGCGTAATGAAAAATGCTCGTGTGCCGATTACACGATGTGACATTGTAGGCATCGTGGTTATGCATTAACGATCTTTTGGAAAGAATAAAGATTAAAAAAGTGCCCAACCCAATGTACTAATATATATTATGCACGTATACCATAAGGCCGAAACGTATGTATATATAAATTAAAATTTATTAATTATTTGCGCAAGTGGCTTGACAACTATACACCTTGCAATAATACGTGCGCGTAGTATATTATTAGAGGGTGTATCAAAGTGTCAGGGCGGTGCAATTAATCTCGTTAGAATAACATGTGCGAGCGTGAAAGTACGCATGAAGAATTATATACGTTTGTCGCTCGTTTATATATGTATGTGTATACTCCGCTCCTCTCTCTCTCTCTCTCTATAGGTATACGTAAAATATACGCCACTTGTATAATATTTTCTCTCTCGGGCAAGGGGCGCGCGACAGATTTCTGTCCAAACATTCGCGCTCCCTCTCGACTTATTGCCTCAAAAAACGCTTTTGACGCGCGCGCGTGCCTTTGCCTTTAATAAACGTGCGCCCTCGCGTATACATGTACAAATGTAAGTATACACGTACTTACGTCGCGTGTCCCCTGTCATATACACACCACTTGCCGAAAGGGTTACTTCTACATGTATATACACACATGATGTGTACTAGAAAAATTCCTCGACGCTGATTTATACGCCATTTCTCGTGATTTTTTTTTTTTTTTTTTTTTTCCTCATCACCCGTAAAATTGGCATGGAAAATCTTGTAAGGTTGATGCGGCAGTTGTACTTTTAAACGTACCCATTTCTAGAGTTGGGGAAAAAAAAGCTCCTTATTGGAATGAGGATCGAGGCTCATTGCCGCAGAAAAGGGGGAAATTAAAACCCAAGCCTCATTGCCTCTGAAAGCCTACACGTATATTATACCTCCCTTTCCTCCGGCGCGGTCCATTTGACGCAGGCGGCCGTTAAAGTCTCGCGATTCCGAGACTCAGAGCGAGCGAGAGAGGGGCAAAAAAATAAAAGGAGCTACAGAGAGACAAGCCATCGGCGATCCGAGCAAAAACGCGCCCCCCCCCCTCCACCGGTATATATGTATATGTACAGTGAGCTTCCGAGAATCGGCCAGACTGGCGGGCGCGTCCTTTTCTTTTGGCCTCGGGAGCTTCCATGCATGCGTTCCAGCATCGGTAAGATCGGAGACGAGCTTTTTCGTAGGAGCGGCGCACCGCGGCTTCTCGGCGCTGGCGGACCGAGAAATTTATCGTCCGAGCACGTGGTCCGGCAATCTTTTTGTTATATTAAGCACCGCAATATAGTGAACTCCTGTGCTGCAAATCTTGTACCTTTTACCCATAGACCCTATATAGCTTTACCGAAGCTTTTCTCTTGCCGTGTGCATATAGGGGTGCGCGATCCACACAGGTTTTTTTTTTTTCGTTTGTACAAACACATGGGAATTTCCACGAGCGTAGCTGGTATATTTTGATGCAATGTTTTTTTTTTTCTTCATCAAAGCCCCGAGCACAGCGCGGAAACGTCGCGCGAAATAGTATCACTTTTGAATTATTCTAGCCCCACGCCCCGAGTCGAGTACGCATACACAAGACATTATACATCACAGTCATCGCTGAAACCACTGGCGTTTTGAAAACCCACTTGGTCCGCATCCTCAGCTTCGTGTGAAACTGGTGTACATATTATATATACGTACCAACGGTTGACAGGCCAGCTATAGGTAAGAGATTCAGGAAACCCCTACAGAGCCGTCACCGCCAGTTATTTTAGCGTTTTCCATTTCACGCTCGGCCGAGCCTCGGTATATATATATATATATATATGTATGTATGTATATGCTCTCGAAAAAGCTCGGGTGCCCCGAGTTCGAGCTTCTCTCGCGCGAGCTTGTACCACCTCCTGTAGGCGGGGGTGGGGACCGCGAGGGAGTCCTACGCCGCGAAATAATGGACGCTGCGCGGGATCCGTCGCTGAAATTATCCGCGGAAAAGAGCCAAGAGGCCTGGTTTATTGCACCCCCCCCCCCCAAACATTGCGAAAGCACCGTCCAATCGTTGGTTTAATAATTGCAAATGCGTGATATTACATGGCATCGGAAGCACGCGCAAACATATATATATAGTATACATTANGATATTACATGGCATCGGAAGCACGCGCAAACATATATATATATAAAATATATAATGATAATATTTACTGAATGTCCCGCCTCGTTGGAAAATTGCGTGTCGCAGAGACTGGCCAGCACCAGCAGCAGCAGCAGCAACAGACGCAGGTTCAGCAGCAGACCCAAGTACAGCAGCAGTACGGGGAGGTTAACCAGTTGGGAGGTGTCTTCGTGAACGGACGGCCCCTGCCCAACGCCGTCCGTCTGCGTATCGTCGAGCTCGCCCAATTGGGCATCCGGCCCTGCGACATATCCCGGCAGCTGCGGGTCAGCCACGGCTGCGTCTCAAAAATACTTGCCCGTTACCACGAGACCGGTAGCATATTGCCCGGGGCCATTGGGGGCAGCAAGCCCCGCGTCACCACTCCCAAGGTCGTACAGTACATAAAACAACTCAAGCTCAAGGATCCCGGTATATTCGCTTGGGAGATACGGGACAGGTTGCTCTCGGACGGCGTCTGCGACAAGTACAACGTGCCCTCGGTATCGAGCATCTCGAGGATACTGCGCAACAAGGTGGGCGCCGCCGCTGCCGCTGCTGCCATCCACAACCCGCACCATCCGGCCCACCATCACCACCACCACCACCACCACCACCTGTATCCCGGGGCGCCCCTGTGTCCGCCCATGCCCTACGTGCCCACGGCTTATCATTCGCCCGTGGGTCACCACCTGCACCACCACCAGCAACAACAGTCGTCGTCGTCGTCGTCGTCGCACCACCAGGTGAATCACCAGCCGGATAACCAACAAGACCAAGGGGCCAATAATTTCCGGAGGTTCCTGGCCATCGAGGAGGGTGGGTACGAGGCTCGCGGGCCTCCGACTCGCTGTTTTTACATATACATTACATCTCATTACATATGGTTTTGCATTTAAATTCATTTTCCTTCTTCATGTTGTTTGTTTTTAGTGTAAGAAAAAATCATAAATTAATTGCAGGGGGTATGCCGAGTTCTCCGGGGTCGTCGTGTAAGCAGCCGAGCAACCCGTCGCCCTCGCCGCCATCGTCGAACGAGCCAAACACTCCGTCGGTGGTCACCGCGTGCACGGCCTCGCCGCCAATCTCGGCAACGGCAGCGGCTGCGGCGGCGGCGGCTGCGGCGGCTAGTTTGCACTGGCCCAGCTCCCACACGGTCCACGACATCCTGTCGGGGGCCATCCCGGGCCTCGTAGCGGACAATCTCGCGCGCCACCACCACCTACACCCGCACCACCACCACCACCACCTCGGTACGGGTGGCGGAGACTCGCCGCAGCACCACCATCACCACCAGAGGATGCAGTCCTCGTCGTCGACGTCGCCCTCCTCGGGCAGTAGCAACGAAACCCTTCCGAGTGACCACCACCACCACCACCACCTACGACACCAGCAGTATTACGCCTCGACCCTTTACCACCATCATCACCACCTGAGCCATCATCAGTCCGGGGTCGGCCTGCCGGTACCCGGTCACCACCACATGCAGACCTTTCACGCCGCTTGCGCCGATTAGGGACGCTAATGGGCTGCTTTTGGTATTATACGCTACACGCGTTAGTCTCACATCATTTATAAAAACTCGCGCGACGTTGAATCCTTCGGATCCATGTCATTATTGCGTGTATGTGTATACATATATAATTATATATATATATATGCGTTGTGTACAGTATTTCGTGTATCAAAGTGATGGCAACGAGTCGCCTTTATCTGCAATTTTTCATACAAAAGTTCGACCAATCGCATCACTCATCGGACACAGTTTCAAAAGTAACATACTCAACCGCGATGATTTTTCAAAAGTAGTACCTTACTATACATAACATATTATATACATAGGGATAAGTTAGAAACACCAATACCTTGTGTTGGTGTTGCTATTATATTATTCATTAATTTAATGTGCGTATATAATAGTGCACGTAAGTCGGAGCGAAAGGTGACGAATCGCGATAGGTTCGACGATCTCTCTTTTCAAGCTCGTGGATGAAAAAAAAAAAGAATCGTTTCAATTAACGGAGTCAAACACGCGAAAACCGTGTTTTTCTTACTTTCGATGTACAATACACATTGTTTACCAACATCGCTACTGTAGTATGCGATTTTTCTCCGTTAAATTGCATAAGGTATACATAGTACGCGCACACTTTTGTAATTTAATACTCAATTGTTAACGACGTGTACTCGCGCACAAACGACTCTTGCTCGCTCGCAAGAGATAAGTACGGATTCACGTATTCTCTCGGTGTAAATAGGTATTTCCTTTCTTTTTTTTTCTTCCCTCGATCATACTCTTGTGTAAATATATATTTAGGTTTATAGTAATCCCGCGTGTATCGATTCCCCGAGTATACTTTTGTTTGTTGGTGCTTTTTTTTTTTTTTTTTTTATTTTTTATTTCCCCACGTTTCGCTCGTTATAACACAAAAGTAAAATGTACAAGCCTCGAAGCTTATCCGTCTTCGTGTGTATACATCGTTTTGTAAGTGGCGCACAGAATTATTTTTCACAGTATTGTCAATAAACTGCTCAAGCAACCCGAACCTGCGAACCCCGAGTTTTCAAACGTTTATTTTAACCGCAACTTTATATTATCTGTACAAAGTACTAGGTATATAATGTACCTAAATCACGATTATTTCGTTCGATTAAAAAAAAAAAAAAAAAAAAAAAAAAAAAAAAAAAAAAAAAAAAAAAAAA